TATATATATATATATATATATATATATATATATATATATATATATATATATATATATACATATATATGATTTATACTTTATTTTAATACGTAAATATATTATTATAAATTATAACTTGTTCATACGAACTCCGTTTTAACGTTTTTTATATCCACGCGTAGATACCGATGAGATCTACAACTTTTGTTTAGACTCCGTCGGCTAATTTTGACTTTATTTTTAAAGTTATATTTTAACAGACTTATATTGTTAAGGTCCGTTAAAAATTCATAATTTTGTCATCCGACGTCCGTTTTCGACTTCTTTTTATCGTTGAACTCCAATTAACGAGATCTTCAATTCTCGTTTAGATTGTTTCGGCTAAAAATCGACCGATCTAAAATTCGATTTCTGAGCTGTATACCGTTTTGTTGAATCTTAGAAAAATCATAACTCCCTCTAATGAAGTCAGATTTAGACATTCTTTATATGCATGCTATCGGTTTGACGACTACTACAACTTTTTTTTAGATCACTAAGACTAAAAACTTTTTTTATCAAAAATTTACTTTTTACGTTACGTAGAGTCGTGCCGGTTTAAATCATGAAACTTCAACGGGTCATAATTTCTTCGTTATAAGTCGGATTTTAGTTTTTTTATATGTACGGAATCCTTGTGACATATACTATAACTTTGTTTAAGATTATTTATCCTAAATAATCTTCTATCAAAAAGTCATTTTTAACGTTTATTATCTCTAAATTGATTAGCATGAATCTGCAGGCGTTACAATTATCTCCCCTTAGGATGATTACGTCACAGAATCATCAACAATACAGGGCTTCTATAATGATTTCGCACATTACCTTTCCATCCTAGGCGGTAATCTTAACGTTCATGTCCTTTCTATTGAGTTTCTAATTCTTGGATATTTTAACCTGTGATAGTGTTGCACCTAAATTTGATCTCCATCGGAGACTCCTGCTCTTTCTATAATTGACTTAACCTATATTAAGGTCCTCACTTCAACTACCGTAACATACCGATGGGTCATGCATCTAATGACCTTTCGCCGTATGAGGTAATGTCTAGACTCAGGTCTTTCGTCCTGATCCAAATGCGAGTCATGTGCTTCCGGTAGTATTGGCCTCTAATACCTTTCATACCTACTCATACTCGTCCCAAGAATTGCCTCTTAGTTTTCCAAGTCACCATACAAGAATTTCATATGCTTATTTAACACATCAGATAACCTAACTAAGGTTTATATTATTTCTTGAAACGATTACATAGATATTCAAGTTTACCCTACACTATGCCTCTTATATTAGGCTACACCACATGATACTATCTATATGGCTACTTTGTATCTCGATCTTCGAATATATAGATCCTTACTCCTGATCCCTTGCATCGTCGCCTACTTCATCAAGGATCATTTGGAATGCTCTTGCCTTTGGCTTCGGCGGCATATTAGGCTTTGCACCCTCCTTCTTCTTCGGGCAGTCCCTAGCAATATGACATTCTTCATTACATTTGTAACACACCTTTTTGTTGGATGTACATTTAATGGCGTAATGACCAGTTCTCCCACACTTGAAACATGTCAACTCCTCGCCACATTTCTCATAGTGTTTATTCCTGCACTTTTCGCACCACTTTGCCCCATTGATATCCCCATACCTTTTGTCGCTAGGACGGGACTTTAAAAATCTACTCTTTTTATCGGACCCTAAAGATCCCTCAACCGTCATTTTCTCTCCTACCTCCGCTCTCTCCAAAACCTTTTTCCCTTAATTGGATCCCCACGTTCTTGGCTGCCCAGATGGCGGCCTTCAAAGTGGTTGCTTGTTTGACGATTGCGACCGGTTTTACCGATCATAATAGTTTTTTTTTTTTTTTTTTTTTGAACTCCAAAATCAAGATAAGTATTAATTTGTGTAAAAAAATGAAAGTCACCAAATGAAGAAAAGTTGAAGTTCCTTACACTCATAAGTCATTTTACATCCATCTTAATATATGAAATATTTTTGTGTTGTTCTTATTAAAAATTCAAGTAATTTATAAAATATCTACATATATAAAGTTTGATTTCATAATTTCATTTTAAATCTCCTTCTTAAGTAGATCAAAAGTAAATAAGCATTAAAAAAATGAATTATCAACCACGGTAAGTATAATAAGCAAAAATTATTTTCATTCAGAAATTTTATTATCCAACTTATTTTGACTCTTGCTTAGAATGAAGATTTAGGAGTTTCATAGAATATAACAATGTTCTAAAAAGGTTGACATGACTTTGTCATGGCACGCCAAGCCTATAAAGCTTGTAGTTGACGACATGCTTTAACAAAATGTCGTCTTAAGTCCTATATGTATAAAAAAATGAATAATATACATATAATTATTAATTATATATAAAAATTCTGCCTTAAATCACGCCTTACAAATGAGGTTGCTCGCCACAAGTTGTAAAAGTTTGAGGCTTTAAATTGTCGTAAAGTAGATCTCGCCTAACGTTATCTAGAATCTTGGAATATAGCAAAGATAGTTTGAAGGTCTAAGGTTGTATTTGAACTTTGTGATGTTATTAAATTGATTACTACCTCGTTTTTTTCTTAAACAAAATTCAATATTTTAGTACTTTGAGACCTAATTCCCTACAAAAATATTTTTGAAGTATTATAGGGAGAAGTGTTTCAGGTGAGATGAGAGCAAGTTAAGAAACCCTACACCAACAAGAATAACATGATACTCTATATTTTCTATTTTTTAAATATCATGTGTCGTTTTAATAGTTTATATACCATAGTTTTTCTTATAAAAATTTATATGTTGTACGGATTATTGCAATAATGTATAATTTATTATAATCATATGATGTTTAAAAAATAGAAAATGATTATACTGTTATTTGTAGGGTTTCACAAATGCTATAATGTAACGGTATCTACACAAACGAGATCCAAAACTCAAATCGCTAGCTAGTCATTTGTCAAAAATCTAAAAACTTTTAGAACAAATATTTTTCTCGTAGAACTATGTGTCGCTTGATTATTTGTGTAAATGTCTAACATTTTTGTGTTCATATCCATTTGAAATTTTCGCTTGTAAAAACTTAATAATTATTAAGGTTTAAGTCAAATGAAGTTTGAATGGTAACTTATAATTTTTTATTTAAAATAGATTGTGATTTATAATTCATTTTTAATACTTAATTATTTTTTATCAAGATAAGAAGGAGATTTAAAATAAAATTACAAAATAACAAGCTTATAAATACTGACTATTTTATAAATTAGTATAGTTTCTTTAGTAGAAACAACATAAAAACATTTCATATATTAAGATGGATAGGCTATCTACTATTAAATTTGAATTTTGATGTTTAAAAGATATATTTATGAGTACCGTTATTAACCGGTTGCAAAGATATGTTTATGAGTACCGGTATTAACCGGTTGCAATGGTGTTCTTTGGATACAAAAAACAACTTTACTGGTATATATTATACAAAGAAAGAAAAACGATTGAATATTTGTAAAGGAAAATGAAAGTTAGTTAACTTCCTAATTTATTATCCTTTTTTTTAATTCGGTATCACTATTCTTATAGATCAACGTTCTTTGAAATAAGTTGGTTTATTCATTAATCAATTATATTAAAAGCTCGAGATTCAAGACTCGCTATATTATTATTATTATTATTATTATTATTTTTTGGAACGGCAAGACTCGCTGCTTGTTATGGATGTATTGTCTTTTAGTTTTAAATCTCTTCTTTAGAAAAAAGAAAAATAAATATTCTTCACTAAGGTTGACATAAATAAAAATATAAATTTCACTTTCTCCGTGGAAATCTCATGAGTTAAATCATAGGATTTGTAGTTTACCAAACGACTGGGTGTTGGAAATAAAATTGATGTAACGAATATTCTTGTTTTTACCCTGCCAAGAAAAAGGGTTTGTGTTGTAATCAAGAAAAGAAAGGGAAAAGAAAAAGAAAAAGGGAGAGAGAGAGAGAGAGAGACTACACATAGGGAGAGAATCCTTTAGACATTTTTAACAGCTTTAACCTAATTAGTCAAGATATAATCAAATATGACTGAAAAAAAAATAAAAAATAAATAAATAAAATAAAAGATAAAAAACTAATAGCATTTATGAAACTTAAACGTAAATAAGAGTTTCCATACTAGGTTATACTGTAACATAATTAAATACTCATAGTTTATTATAACGACTATCACAAAACAAGAGGAAACTCTTATGTAAAAGATCGATCCCACCACCCCACTACAACGGTAGACATCTCCCAAAGAAGTGATATTGCATATGCATATAGAAACAAATATATCACAATCAGACACCCTTTCTCTCTCTCTAGATCTCTTTCTTTCTCTCTCTCACAAACATTCATGCATGCACATATAGATGCACATTATGTACATACAAGCAAGGAAGGGGTCGTATTTCTCTTTAAATTTTTACCTGAACACTAGATGCAGTATGTCACAGTGTCTCCGAGAAAGCTTCGTGGCTAAGAAACTTCCACCACTGACTCTCAGGAACCCTAATTATTATAATATATACAAAAAGAGAGATGCAATATTTAAATTCTTTAAAAAAATAAAAAGAAATCAAGAATATTATGCAAATCAAAAGCTTCCTTCTACACCTCTTCATCATCTTCTCCTTTATCTTTCATTCCNTCTCTCTCTCTCTCTCTCTCTCTCTCTCTCTCTCTCTCTCTCTCTCTCTCTCTCTCTCTCTCTCTCTAGTTTCTCTTGTTTCTGATTCCATGTATTTCAAAAAAACCCTTGAAACTTTCTAAAAGAGAATAAAGAGAAGGAATTTAAACCATGGTTTTCTCGTCTGTTACACCCTTTCTAGATCACCACAATTGGCACCAACAGGTATGATCTTTAAGCTTCTCTCCTTTGATATGAATTGTTTTTCCATTTCTTTTTTCTTAATTCTTCATCCAATCACAGTTAAAAGGAAAAAAGCAAATATGTAAAGAAGATTTTATATACATATGTCTGTGTATATGCTCTTTAAATCTCTCCTTTCTTGAATATACCATCTTAATATATATACCTTCTAAACGCTTTGTGTTATTGTGTTATTGTTTCAGTTGCAACAATCAAGCCATCAACAAGGAAGTGGTGGAGGAGGAGAAAACCCTAATTTTCAGTCACCGCTGGCGCCTCCACAACATGGAGGTTCTGGTGGTGGAGAAGGATCGATTAGACCAGGATCTATGGTGGATCGAGCCAGACTAGCGAAGCTACCCATGCCTGAGCCAGGCTTGAACTGCCCTCGTTGTGATTCCACAAACACCAAATTTTGTTACTTCAACAACTACAGCCTCACGCAGCCTCGACACTTTTGCAAGACGTGCAGGCGTTATTGGACACGAGGTGGTGCTCTAAGGAATGTTCCTGTTGGTGGAGGGTGCAGGAGGAACAAAAGAAGTAACAAAAGCAGCAGAAGGTCAAAATCTCCAGGCCAAAAGGTGGCTAAATCAATGACGAACGGGAGTCCATCAAGGTATAGCACCGGACACATAGCGACAAGTAATCATCATCCACATCCATCTTCACTTCAACTACCCTTCATGAGCTCATTTGGAGGTATTGCTGGTAATATTGATGGACTTCATCCTCAAAATGGAATGGGTAATTTCCAATTCGGATCTGATGGCTCAAATGGAAATAATTTCAGTAACATTTTATCAATTGGAAGTGGTGAGAGTTGGAGATTGCCATTCTTGGCAGGATTTGAGGCACCTAATAATACCAACTTATTTCACTATCAAAGTGAAGGTGCAGTTGCAGCACCAGCATCTTCGATGATCGAGAACCCTCATGCAGATCCTCCAGTAAAAGTCGAAGAAAACCGAGGTCGATCTCTGAATTTATCAAGACAAGCTCTGGGTATTTCAGAAAATACCAATCAACAACCATGGTCAGGGAGTAATACATGGGCTGAATTTTCTGGTGTCAATACTTCTTCTACTCCTACAACACATTTCATATGATCTTTTACTTTGGAGGAATTTCTTTCATCTAAGCGTTCAACTGAGTTAACTTGGACTCCGAAATCCAAGATAAGCAAGAATGTCATGTGGTCTCACTCAAGATCGGTTACTAATGAACAACTGAAGGACAAACAATGGTAGGTTTACTATATGCTATTCAAATTGAATGTCATGGTAAGTAGTGGGTTGTGCTTTTAATTCAACTAATGTGTTTGAGAGTTCAATTACTTGTACTTCATGTTTAATGTTTTTACTAAATTTGTGTCAAAGTGTGTGGTACTTTTTCGTTGTGTTATGAACGATAATGTTTTTTTGTTAAATCTTTCTACTCAAATAATCTCTTGAACTAGTTTACTATATATCTTCCCTGTTAGTTCACAAAGCTACTAAATTAATTAACCACAATGGTTTCTTAGTTGTAATCCAACTTAGTATCCAATGCGAAATCAGTTCCTTGAACTTATCATATGCACTAAGAATAGAATCATTGAGGCATTTACTGTCACAAATTTTATTTGGATGGTAAGAGTATATATCGAACCCATGCATGCCCTAAACTTGAGTTTGGGTAACATGGAAAATATAAAGACGTATTCGAAAGTAATTAGTTACCATACTCATATACCAATTTCCTTTTTACTATTTGTTGTTTCTTAGAACTTTGTTGCAAAGAAATATTGTAAGATGGTTGCATTAATTAAGTCTTCACAATTTATCCAAAATAGTTCGTAATCTTACTTAAAGACATGGTTATTCCTTTTTTAACCAAGATTTTATTAAAAAGCTAACAACGATCTAGAAGCATAAAAAAACCAAAAATTTAGGTAGTCTAGCATTTCTGTTACAAACAACCATAGAGATCAGTATTTCTTTAACAAAAAAAATCTGAATTAAAGTAAATGGTAACATATTTATCATTTATAAAATGCAGAATTAAAGTAAATGGCTACAAAGAATATGTGATTTGTTGATAAACATAGATTCGAAGATTCTTCACGAAATCCAATAAAATGCAGCTCGAACTTTCTTTTGCCATTACTAAAAGATAGAACGGAATGCATAAAATCATCAACGTAGCACAATTCCCCTTCTTTACATGTTCTTCCTGACAGTATGATTCTTCGTCAGTCATAAGTTTGCTTTGCAGCAAAAGGTTGCAGGTCCCCGGTCACTCGTCTATATAACGTAAGGGAAGAAATTAAAGTAGCATGCATGGGGCGGTGAAGGTATATGATAAGTTATATATTTGATCATTAAGTTAAATAACTATACATCTCTGATATTTAATTTCCTATATTGCATAATTCCTTTTTGTGTTAGGTCATCATGATACATACATAAATATACAAATGTTGTGATTATCTTTTTTAGTTGGAGGTAATGAGTTACGATCCTACTTACCAAGTGAAAATGGACGTTATATTTTTCCCTCGTTCGAAATGCTTGGATAATTAATTTATCAAATATTCAAAATACTTATTAAAAAATAGCATCTTGTAATAACGATAACGAATACCTGAATTTTCCGGAAAATATGTTAGAACCTTTCTTAAATATTTTTTGCAACTTTTGTAGTCCCAATGTAAAATATCCAATCTTGTAATAAGGTTTGTTAGAATATGAATGTATCAATAATTAAAAGTTGGAATATGGCAGCAATCAAGAGAATGTTGTACGTAGCAGTACTTCTTTAAAAACATCAATTATTGCCACTCAAAACCATGC